CTCTCAGGTGAAACTCAATAACCAAATGAAAGAGTTTCGGTGATCACTCAAACACAAAACTTTTGCATGAGCCAAAATAAAAACAATCAATGCATTAATCTCAGATTACCCTTTGCTTTTCTGCCTCTATTCGTTCATCTTCCATCTTCATTTCCCTGACAGACAGACAAAACAACAACATAACAATTGAAAAATGATGAGAATGGAAATCCCAAAGTCAAGGTGACTTAAAGATTCATGTATAAATGAGAATTACTTGAGCAGAATCGGAGTAATGAGCTGAGCCTTTCCAGTGGGCAAGAGGAAGTTTCTGAAAAACCCGGCTTTCACGTCTAGTAATTGCCCTTGCTTACCCAAGTCCAACACATCTTCTTTCAAGATTACCTTCAAGAACCAAACAAGATTAATCATTATTGTCTCATTTACTCTCTTCTCTTTTTACCCAGGAACAAAGCTTACAACCAGAAATCAATGAACCAACATAAAGAATTAACCAAATTTTTCTTTATTTCTTGAAATACAAAGGTGTCTACGTTGAGATTCAAATCGCCATTTTCCTTGCATTACAATTTAGTCGAATTTCATGTGAATTACATTCCCACTTTCTCTTCTTGTCTCTTACATTTTATCCGAATGAAACAGAAACAATGCAAAATCCCAATTTTATAAAAACCCATAAAGTAAGCTTCTTCAACTTTTCTTTCAATCTCCGTCAAAATTCTCGGAAAACACCAGCTCAATTCAAAAAGTAACTAGAACCCTAATCGAAAATTTTGAAGAAAACCCATGAAACGTAATCATTAAAGACTGCACCTTTCGAAGTTTCTTGGCTTTCTTCTGGGCAAGCACCTCCAAACTGGACCTTTGCGGGGATACTTTTAGGGTTTCAAATGCGACGCCATTGAAGCTGTGGGACGAACAAAGCGAGGAGCTCCATGAAAGGGACAAAGCTGTAGAAGAAGCCATTAGTAAGCAGAGATAAGAGCTCAGTTTAGTGTTATCTTCTTCTTATCGGCTTCGCCTTGTTTGCTCGGTAACACAAGTTGAAGGACGAAATTTTTATGGTGTTTCGAATTTGACCCCCTTATTATTCGACCTTTTTTGTTTTCTTCCTTAAACTTTCATTTTGTTAACTTATCTATTCGAATTCAATTCGCTCGAATTATTTGGATAAATTATCTATTTAGATTAACTATTTTAACTTAATAAATAAGCCGGATAGTTTATTG